TTTCTAGTAATGAATAACAGGTACTGACCGCACAGAGAAAAAGTCAGTTACAAGACTTGCCAGCTCATACCGTCTTTCCCCAGATGGTCCCAGTCAACAATTGGTAGCAAATTGCATTTCATCTAGTCATTAAAATTCCCTAAATTTCCAGTAACGTCAAATATTCAGAACATATTTCTTTTTTCTTGCAGTATCCTCCCTTCCCACATAATTCAACAGTGACGTCTGTGCTGCTTCTCTATCTCTTAGTTGACCTTGTTTTTCAGGTTTTTTTCCTACCTGTCTCATAACTTATTTTTTTCCTTATCACTCCTAGTACAGGGCACAAAAATATATCAGCACTTTTTTTAGTGCTTGCATACAAAAAATGTCTAAAATTTGGACAAGGTCTATCAATTTACCACTTCATTAATTCCCACAATGACCTATTGATATTCTAAATATGACAACATGCAATTTCTGAATATTCTGATGCTAGGAACACAAATTACAAAAGCTTCACTATACTCACACACACACGTATATATAAAAGCAAATTACAGATCTCAAGCTATATATTATTTTAAGTAAGGTCACACCTTATTTTTTCTCATGCAGCTATGTCACTGGGCAGTAAAGAACACAAGATTCAGGTGATGAGAGAAAATAAAAAAGGCCTGACTCTATATACTAAGCCCTTTATTGAATGTAGCTCTAGGTCTTGTTTCAGGGAATGAAAAACAAAGTAAATTATATTTCGATGGCCATTGCCATCACCACTTACAAGGACATATGCAAATTAAGGTTCATAGACATCTTTAATAGAAATAGCATCTTCTCAAAACTTCATGCTTCATGACCTTAAGAATGGCAAAATGGCAATGATGATTGCACCACTTCTTGGAACACATACAGCCACATACTGAACGAAAACTGAAGACTTAGCAAAGTCCTTTAAATACAAGTCCTTGATCCCCAAACACTTCCTCTTTCAGGTATAAATTAACAGAAATCACACCGGTTTGTGCACCAGTGGCAACCTACAGTGTAAGTAGACATAACCCATGTAATCCTCAAACTGAAACCCAGCGTTTATGAACCACTTGGACTTAAAGTCCACGTCTGCCACACACAAGCCTGAATATGTGTAACTTGTAGTAACGTCACTAGACTAACGTGAAACAAAAATACCAGTGCAGCACTTCCAGGAGTCAGGGCTTCGTAAAAGGCCTATTTTCTGGGAGTTGAATACATGAGATTTTATCACCTCCTGGGGAAAAAAGTTAGAGAGGAATGCTGACTTCAACACAGGGGAAGAAGTACCTCTGCTAGGACGTGTTTGCTGTGCAAATTAATTCCTGAGGATTTTTTTTTTTCAAATTCAGCTGAATTCTTGACCTTCCTGTCGTAGCTCTGATAACATTCTTTTACACTCTCAATTCAAAACAAAAAGTTCACAGCCTCTACATTGCTGATAACATTCTGTTCCTCAGCTTCAGTAGTTAGGTCCTTTGTACTTCTCCTTAATTGATGGATGTTCCCCTCATTAATATTTTCTATTGAATCAGCAGCTAAACATTTCCTGCTATCAAAAATAGTTAACACCGTGGTTCCTGTTCAACAAGGTAGCATCAGTTCTTCACAGTAAATACTAATATTTTACAACCTTTATCTCTTACTTGCTTACCTCCTAGCCTCTTTAGGGTAAGGACCAGCCTATTCTGACAAGGTAGCATCAGTTCTTCACAGTAAATATTAACATTTTACAACCTTTATCTCTTACTTGCTCACCTTCTAGCCTCTTTAGGGTAAGGACCAGCCTATTCATAACATAAATTACAACAGAAAATAATTTCCCTTAAATAGTTCAGTCAGGCAGGCATATGAAAAAAAAAAGTTAAAAAACACATTCTGAAATTAAAATTCAAAGAGTACAGGGGTTGTAGAAGAAAATAAGGAATATGTTTGACTGCATGGTGGAAGTGTCAAGACTTTCTATCAAGAAATAAAGGCAAACTTTTTTTCCAAAATTACAATGAAAACCAATCTATAATCTTCAGGCTTCATTTAACCTATAGGCTTCATATTTGATCTCAAAACTGGGTAAAGCAGAAAAAAATCCTGAAGTGTGGCAGGTATCAAATGCTTTAAAATGTAAAAGCTTTAAAAATACCCTCTGAAAATAATTATAAGAACTGCTTAAAATGACATTACTCGGATAAAGTATTAATCAACTGCAACAAAATTCAATTTATGGAAAAAGTTACAGCCTCATATCCAGACTACTCAAGAATTTAGCAGCATCTCCAAAGAGATACTGGTGTAACGGAATTCCAAATGCACACAGGATTTCTAGCTGCTGATGCATTAGGAGACAAACATTTCAGCTTTAGTAGGGCACCAAGCCAGCCGTTATTAATGAAGCTGTCTAATGGGCTGAAACTTAGCCACGCATGAAAACCCAACAACAGATACTTCTGCGCTCTGGGAAAGCTCATTTTTCAGCACCATCACTACACGACATTTAACTATTTAAAAGTAGTAAGCTGGTAGTTAACTCGTACAGTTGATCCCCCTGCAGTTCTGCACAGCACTGCTCTAAAGATTTCTAAAAGATTTTCATTATCTAACCAAAATGCAGCATGTTCAGTTTCCTTATTCTTGACTGAAATAATAAGATTTAATAAGCAATTTATTTAATTCCTGTAGAGCAGACAGATGACCAGCTGGTGATAACACATCCACCAAGTTTGTTCATTTTCTTCCTTAAAGGCTGTTCACTTCAAAACACTTTATACTATATTGCAAAGAAGTCCTCCAAACATGACATTCCTGTTTTTCTTTTGTTTACTGGCTCTAAACTCAAACAATAGCATGCTCATGTAATACAACGCGGGAACTGGGATGAGAAATCTGTCCAAGTGAGGCAAACTTTCAGAGTGAAAATCCTGTAAGAAAATATTATAGAAAGATAAAGGAAAAAACCTGCGGAAGTGACAAATTAAGTGCAGAATATGGTCCTAGGAGATGACGATGTCCTGATTTCTCAGGCAACCTCATTGAAGCGTATATTGCATGTAGGCCTAGTTTTATAATCCACTCCATTGGCCAAGCACAGACTCAACACACAGATCTCAAGAAAAAAACAGGAATATGAAGTGCCCCAACACTCCTGCCAGATCACAACAGGACCAGCGATACTGACGCAGAAGTAGGACAAATAAGGGGTTTTCTTGCAGGGTTTGGAAAGACCAGATGAAACATTGTTGTCTTACCCTGAAAACCTTTATGGTCCAATAAGACATGGAAAGTTTAAAATTTTCAAGACTTCAGAAGTCTCAGTCAACAGCTTTAAAATAACTGGCTGAGGAGCCGAGAACTATCAGCACTTACATTTAATTACTTCTGTAATACCCAGGGGTCCGTTGGCAGATCAGGGTAGAAACAAAGAGGTCTGTCATGTTGGTAAACTGTAGGTAGGATCAGAGTTAGCCTTCAAACTATGTAATCTGATGTCAGCGCCAAGGGGCAGGAAAGGAAAGAGGCTGACAGCAGCAGAGATAATAATCAGGGAAAAAAAGGATACCTCCTTTTAAGTAATGCCAACCTGTGTCACCAGGGAAACGAGCTCTTGTCAAGCTAGTTATCGAGATTCAAGAAGATTGCAAGTTCAGCTGAGAAAATTAACCATTGCCTCAAGCTATGGGGAATGGCTGCAGGCATTCTCCTTTGCACTCGATGACCTTCAGGCAAAATTAAAAAGAAAAGTGCAACAGCAGATCAATATAGCATATACCCAATATAGTAAACTGGGACTATGGTGTACTCGAGTCATCCTTAGTGAAATTCCACTGTAATTTTTCTTTGCCCTATTACTATTTATTAAGAAATAAAAAGGGAGGGGGTTTGTTCACTTTCAGAAGACAAGCTAGGGCACGCTAAATTATGGAGTATTTAGATTAGGCAGAAAACTGGGCTGCTGAAGCCATACATCTACCTCAACACCATGTACCATCATTAATGAAGTAATATATTACTATGTATTGTGCAAGACAGTGAACCTGGAAGTCTCTGGAGCAGACCAAAAATTTTGTATGAACTCTTAAAGTTTAGAACATACATAGTTAAGTAGCCTAAAAGCATTATAAGGCAAAATTTTAGAACTATATAATTAATTTCTATAAACAACACAAATAAGTTCTCCCTTCGTTTCTGACGGGTCTCATTTCAGGGCTGTGTTGAGGAACACTGCCAATCCACGGGCATGGAACAAACCAACGCTACAGACTGGAAGCAGCAGGGCACATGGCACGAATGCAGCTAACACTGCTCATTCTGTGTCTCCAAAAACATCATCCACCGGCCCCTGCTGCTCGCCTTTCCTTCCTATCCTTCCAAGTACACTAGTGTCCAGAGGACATTTTTTTCCAGTGGATGAAAAAAACCCAAGAATACTTTTCTATCTTATGCAAATTTCACATCCATCTTTTTAATCTTCTTTAAATACTAGATCAATAAAACTGCAAGTCTATGTTACCTCCTCAACAGGCCTGTCAGACTCATCTACAGTTCAATTCCTTAAGAATTTTAGATCAGAGGAATGTAATTTCCAGCACAGTTATCAGCAAGAGACAAATCTGGTGAAAAATATGAATTTTAACTTGCCCCATATATACACCTTTCTGTCATTGCTACTTTTCATTATCAACTAGTTTAATAACCACTTACTGTGAAAAAAGCTAAGGAGCATTGCAGCCTGAATTTGCATGCCCAGCTTTCTTAAAAAAATTAATTTTCAAGAAACAAAAGGGTAAGGAACCTAAAATGACTCATCACAAAGGAAATGTTTTTTAAAAACCCAAGGAATTCTTAATGAGCTATCGAATCTCTTAATTATTTGGATAGATAAAGGCTGAGAAGGACAAAATATTTCTACTGATGCACTAGAAGGCAATCAAATAATTTAAGTTCACATACTTGAATTAACAGACACACACAGAAGAAAAACAGAGACATGATTAAGGGGAGGCCAAATTGTTTTATTTAATTTTTTAGTGACCAATTGGATTTTTGGCAGAAAGCTCTGCTCTTTTCTTTTTCTTTTTTTTTTTTTTTCCTTTTAAAGAAATCAGCAGTGCTCAAATAGATGGGCTGGAATTTTACTCAAATTCCAGTTAATTTTAAAAACAAACAGATGAACAGATATTCCAGATACTGTTTCCAGAGCAGAGAGCAAAACTTCACATTTGTATGAAAATTTCACGTTTATACTTGATTGGGACACAGAATGTAAAACTATTGTCAGTAGTGCATGAATAAAACATTCACATTTGATCTGGAACCTTAAAATCAGAAAGCTGTACTCTCCTTTCAAAATTTTCATTACCTTGTGCAAATGAAGTCAAGTCTTCATGTGTCAAACACACTTAAAATTGTCCATATTTTATATACAAGACATCTACCATTCAGGCAGTGCAAAATACATCCTTTCATAACAAAACTAAAATGTACCTCTCAAAGTATGAACAAGAATATACACATAATACATGATGTACACTATTTACACAACCATAAAAAATATAATACAAGGATTTTTTTTTTTTAAATGTGATTATAAGACTTGACAGTCTTTTGCGATTTTTGCTGCAACAAGGCATGTTTTATGTTTCCTGGGTGGAGTTTTCTTTGCCAATTACTCAAGAGGTCTTGGAAACTATGCTTGAACTTTTAGGAGAGTTTTCAAATGGACTGCCATCAACTCCCTGTTTTGGTCAGAAGGTTCAGCTGTGCCACCCACCCAGTGGCTGGGAGGCTTTGGAAGGACACTAGGAGATGGTGGGTCGCTAAATTTTGCCCCAGCGTAATTTTCTTTTTGGTTCACTTCAGTTAGGGTGGTAGGTTTCTTGGACTTGGCATTTCTGAAGTTCTCCGCGTTTTTAAGTGGCTTTTTCTCCTGCTTCTGAATTACTTCTGGCGATACAGCATCTTGCCAGAAGTTCTCTATCTTTTTTGCCGAGGTGATCTTTGTCAGCGGCAGGCTGCACTTACTCTTCTGTCTGTTAATCTTTGGTTGTTCACACAGATGTAAGCTGTGAACAGGCTGGCTGTAGGGGACGGCAGCCTTCTCCGTCTTTCCCATCTTGTTCTTTAAGAACTGCGGAGACAAAAGAATCCACGTCAACCCC